CATGTTTTGTGAACCTCACCAACTGACATGGTCTGTGAACCTCACCAACTGCCATGGTGTGTGAACCTCATCAACTGAACTGGTCTGTGAACCTCCGTGAAGAGAAAGACAAACAATATCCCAAGATTATGGTCTGTGAACCTCATCAACTGACATGGTCTGTGAATCTCATCAACTGACATGGTATGTGAACCCCACCAACTGAACTGGTCTGTGAACCTCACCTGACATGGTCTGTGAACCTCACCAACTGAAATGGTCTGTGAACCTCATCAACTGACATGGTCTGTGAACCTCATCAACTGAACTGGTCTGTGAACCTCATCAACTGAACTGGTCTATGAACCTCATCAAGTGACATGGTCTGTGAACCTCACCAACTTCCATGGTCTGTCAACCTCACCAACTGAACTGGTCTGTGAACCTCATCAACTGACATGCTCTGTGAACCTCACCAACTGAACATATCTGTGAACCTCCGTGAGGAGACAGACAAACAATATCCCAAGATTATCGTCTGTGAACCTCATCAACGGACATGGTCTATGAACCTCATCAAGTGACATGGTCTGTGAACCTCATCAACGGACATGGTCTGTGAACCTCATCACCTGAACTGGTCTGTGAACCTCATCACCTGAACTGGTCTATGAACCTCATCAAGTGACATGGTCTGTGAACCTCAACAACTGAACTAGTCTGTGAACCTCATCAACGGACATGGTCTATGAACCTCATCAACTGACAAGGTCTGTGAACCTCATCAACGGACATGGTCTATGAACCTCATCAACTGACATGGTCGGTGATCCTCAACAACTGAACTAGTCTGTGAACCTTATCAACTGACATGCTCTGTGAACTTCACCAACTGACATAGTCTGTGAGCTTCATCAACTGACATGGTCTGTGAACCTCACCAACTGACATGGTCTGTGAACCCAGATTACCAGTGGAGCAGCGGACACTCACTTGGACAGAGCCTCCTCTCTGAGGACTTGCAGAGCGATGCGCGTCATGTTGATGGACATCACGCTGAAGGGAAAGTTCTAAACCAAAAGACGAACAGAAGAAGACGACGACAGAGTTTAGGAACGAAAAGTCGAAGCCAAAGATCGGGGGGGAAAAAAAAGACACGACCTCGGGATGGACCATCGGCCGTCACCTGTGTGGGGTGCTGGGACAACTTGTAGATGTCCCGAGCAAGCGGCAGAGTCTCCGGGTCCATGACGAAGTACAGAGTGTGCATCAGTCCCAGGAAACCGGTGCCGCGTAGATCGGTGGCCGGATCGGTACCTGCAGCACAGGAGACAAGTTGTTGCTGTTGTTGTTGTCGTCGTTGTTGTCATCAACGAGGTGTCAGTGTCTCACCCTGAAAGCCAATGTTTTCCCAGTGAGCTCCGAAGCGAGGACAGTCCAGTCTGCTGCTGATCAGTCTCTTGTAAATGGTTTGGAGGACACGCATGTGGACGGGTTGACTGTTGTCCACAGGGCCTGTTCAACACACACAACACAGATAATGTTAAGAGATAGCTGGCGCTGGGGCTGCCGCTCCGGCTCCTTAGTGTCGACTCCCACTGAGCCGGAGTGGCGAGAACGAGATACGGACAGATTTCTCACAGACTTAAAAAATGAACGACCGGGAGGACGAGGATGTAAAAAAAAAAAAACAACAACTCACACTGTGCAATAGCAAAGACAAGGTCCCGCTCCTCCTGCAGTTCCCGGTGCAGCCGTGGAGGTCCGAACAGGAAGTGTGTGATGGCAGCCAGTCCCGTCCTCCGAACTGTCGGCTGGATGTTTTTCTAGGTTAGAAAAAAAAAAGAAAAAAGGTGTTAATATTCTGACCCGTACTTGTTGCCAAGTACCAAAGCAAATCTCACATCGACCACTTGTCACAACATATCGTGTTCCAGTTAAGTTACGATATGGTTCACAATACGATTTTATCATGATTTCCTTTTTCAACCTAATGATCTCTAGACAAATTGTGACCAAATCCACTGACCACGTCTCTTTCAGAACTGGGTCAAATCCCATCACCGACTGACACTGGTCAGTGAACCTCATCAACTGACATGGTCTGTGAACCTCACCAACTGACATGGTCTGTGAACCTCATCAACCGACATGGTCTGTGAACCTCATTAACTGACATGGTCTGTGAAACTGACATGGTCTGTGAACCTCACCAACTCAACTGGTCTGTGAACCTCATCAACTGACATGGTCTGTGAACCCCACCCACTCAACACCTGAACGTCTCTCAGCCCATGTAGGGACCTGACGTTTGGGTTTGATAGTGGGTCAGGACCAATGTTTTTAGGCTTATACCGCCACCTACTGTGCTGGGGAGTGTAGTGTCATGGTATGACCAGTGACTTTTTTCGATAGCCCAGCCTACTTCTTTTTTTTAATCACCACCGACGTGCATTGTCTCGCATTTGACCGAGTCATGATGCTTCGTCACACCCCCCACTCCCACGACACCGGCCAAACGATCGCCTCGACACACATCATCGGCTGATGATTCCTGTAATCAAGTAGGTGTGTAATCAAGTTGTTCTACCTTAAAAAAAAAAGATTTCCCGTTACCACTAAAAAAAACGTTAGCATCATTTTATAATTAGTCTTCGCTTATAAAGCGATTTCTTACCAGCAGGTCCCCGAGGTCTGTGGTCTGGAAGTACTGCAGCGCTTCGTTAAAGGAAATGAGAGGGGAAGGGTTCGAGTCCTCGGTGAGAGCTGGGAAGGTAATGTGTCAATTTAGTCCCGTCATGATGACAAGATGACATCAGCATAATCTAGGGGGGGGGTGGGGTCTGACCTGGTTGGACGTTCTCCAGAACTTCCCACTCCTGACGAGCCTTTTCCAACTCGGCGTTTTCCTCTGAAACAAAAATCGCAAAGGATAGGTCTTAGAAAATATTTTCATCTTAGTAATTCCGCACTCGCCGATGTCGGCGACTACACCCAAGTACACGCTCCGTACTTCAAACTCACTACGGTCAGCATTAAATAAATACCACGACCTTTCCAGACTTCCATACAACGCCCCCCCCCAAAAAAATATCTGGGTTGTGGACCAACTGCAGGGCCGCACAGCTGCCAGTGACCGTGTCTGCTCGGACATGTATCACCAGGGCAGAGTATTTGTTTTCGAGATAGAAAACAAATTTATAGTTATTCTCTTAAATTATTAATAAAAGTGGCCAATAGGGGGCAGTAGTGTGGTGATTCGACTTTTCCATTCCTTTTCGTGTTAGTTAGCTATATTACACGTTGTTCCACAACAACCTCAATTTTCCCCTTCGTTTCATGCCTCCCCCGTTGTGCTTTGCTGCCCCCTGTGGGAGGCACTAGTATAACGGGGAGGATATGAAATGACTACGTACAATCAGCAACAATTAGAGAAGAAAAGTCTGACATTATCTGCGTTAATCTGAACGCCACCGATGGATTTCCGTCAGGGCTCGGCTCTGGCTCGGCACCGACCTCAAGTAGAGAACCTCCGCTCCTTAGTGAGTGTTTACCTGCAACAGCTGCCTGGTGTCTAGGACGCAATCAAAGGTTCCTGAGGGATCGGAATACGCAAGAGGGAGGGAGAGAGAGAGGGATAGAGGGAGAGCAGTGGTGTGAGTGTACCTTCTGTGAGTTTAGTCTGTTCTCCGCCGGTGGCAGCCAGAGACTGCAGGAGACCATTCTGCTTCAGCGCTGAAATCTGGACAAAAGGATGTTTTAAAAATAAGTGAGAAAAAACGAAAGGAAAAGTTCGACGGAAATATCAGGCGATAAAATGAATTACCGGCAGAGATCTGAGGGGGGCGCTGCCGTTGGTGTGGTCGTTGACCCCATGACCAATAATCACTCCATTCATGACCTAATGGAGAAAAACACAAATGTTAGAATTAAAAAAAAAAAAAAATCGGAGAAAAAAAATTAGCATGACAGAACGTTAGTTGATCGGTACTAACAGGCTTGTGTTTGGAGTATCCATTGGTGATCTCCTCTAACGGGTTACATCTACCGGACAGAAGATCCAGACCCTGGAAGGAAGGACACATGGAAACGTCAAAAATTAAACCTTTTTTTTTTTTTTTTTATAAAAAAACTACGACAGTGGTTCCAAGAAAAGAAAACAAACAGATAAAAATGTCTCTGTTGCGTATTAAACCTGAGCACGGTCTCACGTCCAGTTACAGGGAAACGCCAAACTTATTAGCATTAATTAGCATCAGTGCTAAAAAAAATCTTTTTTTTAAATATATCATAAATATATATGAAAAAATATATAACTTCACATGTTTTTTTTTCACACTGACCGCCAATAGAGGGCACTCCAGGCTTTTTCTTTTGGTGTATCAGTATCAGCCACTCCTGTCCCATTGAAAATGTACATGTTTGTTATTTTCGCGCTAGAGGGCACTCTAGGCTTGTGCACCAATATGCTACTCCTGTAAGTCTCAGTTTTTTTTTTATATATATATATACATAATATATATATGAAAAAAAAAATATTTTCACATTTGTTTTTTCACACTGACCGCCACTAAAGGGCACTCTAGGCTTTTTTTCCCTGGTGTACCAGTATCTGCCACTGAAAATGTACCACTGAACATGGCCACTAAAGGGCACTCTAGGCTTTTTTTCCCTGGTGTACCAGTATCTGCCACTGAAAATGTACCACTGAACATGTACATGTTCATTATTTTCGCACTAGAGGGCACTCTAGGCTTGTGCACCAATATGCTACTCTTGTAAGTCGCAGTTTTTTTTCATCCTTCGGCTGGTGCGACTTATACTCCAGAGCGACTCATACTTAGTCCGAAAAATACATTACTTCACATTTCTTTAATATTGTATAGTGTACAGTGGTTCCCAAACCGTGGCCCAAACTGGAAAACAAAGATTTTACCTCCACGTGGGATGTGACGTCGATGTCTTCCTCCATTGCATACGAGAGTGTGTTTGCTGGCGCACGTGCTCCCGATCCTGGACCCTACAGACTTCTGAAGTCACGGAGCGCGATGGTCCGAGAAGCCGATGCGAGGACAAGCGCCCTGTAGTGTTCTGTAGTGCACATCTTTAGCAGCGGCAAATACGAAAAAGCTCCTGTGGTGAGAACACGAGGCCACGGCGATCAGCGTGTTTTCACATAAGTGTCAGCGCTGAACAAGAGCCGTGTTCTGGACATTGGACAGTTTGCATTTCTGTCCTGTGGCAACGGTTGATGGGATGACGGAAACCCCTTTATGTATTAGATTCTCCGATGTCCTTGAAGGTGTGCACGGAGAACGCACAGGTTTCTGTCTACGAGAGACGGAGGCCAGAAATGGAAATCCATGAAAAAAAAAAAAAAGTTTACTGAAAAGTTGCTCCCTTCATGTGCCCCAGCGGTCCGCACGGGTAGACAACAAATGTGACATGGCGGTCCTTCTCGGGGCTGGGCTCCCCTTGTCCTAGAAACTTCATTACTTTGGCACACGGTACAAATTCGGTACTGGCCTGACAAGTACCAGAAATTTGGTACTTCAGTCTCTTGAGGGCAGGTCACGGAGCCAGTCTTTGTTTTGGTAGAATCTGGGAAAAAAAATTAATGTCTTCAAAAAATTAACAACATCTTTCAGTGAATAATTTATTATTTATTAAAAATTTGGTTTAAAATTGTTAGTACCATGAAGGGTACGTACACCCCCGTTTGAGAACCACTATCACAGCAAATTTTTTTTTTTTTAATTATCTCACACTTTTGCTGTTTAGGTTTTTTATAGCATCAAATAACGATGTCACAATTGTGTACGAACATCTCGGCAGTGCAACCGTTAACGGTGAACAGGTTTTGTATATGCTGAGCTAACCATTTTTCTTTTTTTTTAAAGTAGTTTTTCCAAAAGAGTCGTTACCGAAACGTTACCTCCATTAAAACGCGCTAAAACTAGCTGACATTGTAAGTACAGTTCTAACCCCTGCGGTGATGGTGACACCCGCGGTACAATCACAGCGCCGCTTTGACAGCTACAGCGGCTAACGGCTAACATTATGTAGCAACTACTGTAACTAGCGCCGTGTCAAGTAGCAGCCCCCGAAAGGCACAAAGACCGAGATCCATTTCAACACAAACTGTCTCAAACCACAGATAAACATTTATTTTATTTTATTTTTTTAATTTAAAGTATTCACAGGAAACGTTAAGAGACAAATACGCGGCGCAGTGAAGCACTTCAGACTTGGGTTAGCATTGAGAAAAGCCAGCTGGCTAACTAACGGGCTAGCCGCAGCTCTACTCAACTGTAACGGAGGCGCCCCCGTCTGCGCTCGCGGTACAACATACAAGAAACGACTCTGCTCCGTCACGCCGCCGTTTTAAAGCCGCCACAACAGGCGACGCGCGGCGACATGTCGTTCGACCGGCGCATTTGTACGAAACATTGTTCAAAGTACCTCAGTTTCTGATTGTGTCTCCCTCCAATCTCAGTTTCCCTTCCCCCCCGTCCACTGGCCACAATTTTTCCAACTGCATCCTGGGAATTGTGGTTTCCTGTCGTAACGACTGTAACTTCATTACGTCATTGCCCGCCCCTCCCGCCTTTTACAAGGAGCCCATGTGGAATAGGACCAAAAACAGTCGTGTTAAAATGTTGTTAAATAAAATGTTCCGCCCCCATAAAATAATAAAACAGGAAAGTAGAATTTCTTTTAAAAATTCAACTGACATTTTTATGTACTGAATTATGTAATTTGTGTTTAATCTGTACAGTACAAAAATGAAAAGCGAAAGGACGTACAGTGGAGCAGGAGAGGCTAAGTCAAAAAGTTATCAGACAAATTAAACGTTTCTTTATTTATGAGAATAAAACATATTTTAACACATTTCTGAAATTGTGGAGGATTATTTTCTTATTTTCTTATTTTCTTATTTTCTTTTTAACCCAAATGTGTTCATTTGAGCACTGGAATCCATTCCCTTTTTTAAAAAAATCACATGAAGCTAGGTCAAAACCTGTTTCAAAGTGTCGTTAACTTGAACTCCTGGTTTCAAAATCATTTTTTAAGGTTGAAATTATTATAAAATCAGACAGCTTTGTCTTCATTCTTTTTGACTTGTAGCCTTGTATTTAACTATAACTCTTATCTTGATATTATTTATTAGCCTAGCGTTTTTTTGTTTTTTGTTTTTTTTTCCCTTCAATGACCTTCGCTAGCTTTCGTAGACCAAACAGTCGGTTACTTCTCACATGTGCTCACGTTCAGATTCTGGATACTTGATTCTATAGTGAAATAAACATTTTTGACAAGATGAAACAAAAAAGTGTTAGCATTTCCCTCCGATGTTACAGGATGTTACAGTTCCAATTCAAGGCCGTTTGTCACTGTCGACACCCGTATCTGTTGATTTGAAGGGGGTGGGGGGGGGGGGGGGGGGGGGGGGCGAAAGGCCTCCCACGAACCAACAACCCTGGTCCGAACCTGCTGGAAAACGTAAAAGTAACTGATAAGGAAAGTCAGAAAAAAAAGTCGTTCCTTTAAGACGGTGAGATTGGTGAACTTGGTAACTTTTTTTTTTAGTTGTTAAAATAACCAAGATTTTTCTCATTTTAAAGTTCCACAGTGTAGCGGTTAGCACGTCTGCATTTGAAGCAGAGGGTCTCAGGTTTGATTCCCAGAACAAGGTAACTTTGGATATTAGCGTCTGCTAAATTGAAATGTTAAAATTTCAGGTGTATTTCTTAACGCAAAAATAATTGTCTTGGAACTTTTTGACTACATCCTTGTGTGTCGTGCGTGCGCTGACGTCAATCATCATCACTGAATAGGTTAGCATCATTTTATTTTGGGGTTTTTGTGCATCAGGGTGAAGGGGATAAATCAGTGTACAGTACGGTAGGGTAGTGTCATAGAAATACGAGGAACTGATGAGCCGGTCGTTTACACTGGGGTGACATCGGATAAAAGCAATAAATTAAAAAAGCGAAATCAACTGTGCCGTCACATCTCTCGTTTTTTTTTTTTATTTGCATGATTCTTCAGTCAGTCTCCCGCCTCCTGTCTCCATCTCGTGCGTCGGGGGCCAAAAGCTCCAGGGACCTCCCCGTGTTAGCAGGCGTGAGCCGTCTCCATGGAAACGTTGTCAGCCATCCTCAGCCTGAGGTGGTTGGCAAACTCCACCTGCGTCTGCGAGAGCATTTTGTTGATGATCGTCTTCGGGATCCAGCCCTGTGGGTGAGGGAGGAAGACGACCGCAGTGGGTTAGGGTTCCAGGTTTTTGGTGTTTTGGTGGCGTTTGTACCAAAAGACATAGCTGACATATACAGATATATACAGTACATATATATATATATACATATATATGTGTATATATGTGTGTATATACATATATTCATATATTGTGTATATATGTGTATATATATACATATATTGCATATATATGTGTATATCTATATACACATATATACATATATTGCATATATATGTGTATATCTATATACACATATATACATATATTGCATTTGTGTGTATATATACATATATTGCATATATATGTGCATATATGTATATACACATATATACATATATTGCATATATATGTGCATATACTGTATGTATATACACATATACTTGTATATACAGTATGTGTATATATGTCTGTATATATACATATATACATATACTGCATATATATATATATATATATGTGTGTGTATATATGTATATATATATGTATATATATGTATATATGTTGAGTTTAAGTATGTATGAGTTTAAGTAGTAAATGACGTTTTTGGAGCCACTCACCTTCAGATCCATGTTCAGTAACCAGGTGAACTTGGTCTTGTTGGGGTCGTCAGCACATGGTTTCATGACGATACATGTAGGACCGTTCTCTGCCCTGGAAAAAAATAGGTCATGAATTACACCAGGGAAACCAACATCCATCCAATACATCCAACCATCCATCTGTAATCTGAAATTTAGCATGTGATGCTAACATTTAGCTAACACCTACTGTCTTGTTCATAAAGACAGACGTGTTAAAGCCCCAGTAGGTGGCGTCCGTGTCCGTGACTCACCTGACCACGCCGCTCTGCTCGGGCATCGTGGGATGTTTGGTGGACATCGCAGCCAGGAAGCAGGTGGAGCCTCTCCGTTTGGCACATCGGACACTGACGAAGTCTCTCCGGCCCAGCACGTTATCCGCAGGCACCTCGTGGGTGACCATCGTGTCCTGGCCAATTCTTTGAAGAATCTACAGCAGGTGGCGCCCGTCGGGACGTTTTTTTTTAGCCTCAAACTGACTCCGAATGACATCGTACGAATCGTCGGATGATTTACCTTGACCTCTTTGATTTTGGGGTTCCACTCCCCCATCTGCTCCATGTTGCCCACCAGCTCCTGGTAAAGGTTGTCGGGATGTTGCTCCATCATCACCTCCAGCTTGAACACCTTCCCGATGTCTGGTATTTCCTTACTCAGGACCTTGTCTCCGTTGGCCTGCGGATGGATTTAAACACACGCCGGAGGTTTTTTTTTTAGGTATCTGCTCAGGACCCCGAAGGCAACGGTGGCACGGCGATCGTTTACTCACGTCTGCGATTTCAGTGGTCCAGCCGTCCTGCTCGCTGAGGATGCCGATGGCCCTCTGCAGGGCCTCCTCCCCCTGCTTGATGTAGGAGACCTCCTCCTCACTGAACTGCTCCTCCTCTCTGATCCGAGAACCTGAAAGAAAAGGCGGGAGTTGGGAATGTGGTTGGAAGAAACTTTTGGAAACAACAAATCAAATACTATCACTACTGTGATAGTACTAGGACTAGTACTTGAGTAGTATTTAGTCACTGTGGTAGTAAGGATTGTACTACATCGTCAAATCGTACTACTAAAAAACATATTTTGTCGGACACTTTTTTTTTACGAATATTTTTAAACCTTAAAAAAAAAAAAAAAAGATCCCTACTGTAGTACTATTACAGTACTTCAAACTTCAAATTGTATTTGCAGCTCTTGGTCAAAATATTTACCCAACACTCTCCAGTGCATCACATGTAGAGACCAACACCTATGATTGATTTAGAGCAGAGGTGTCAAACATATGGCCCGCGGACCAAAACCAGTCCTCTTGATCATTTTTAAAAATTGAAAAAACCAAAACAAATTTAAAAATGCGCTAAGACATTGCATTCAAATTATTTACTATTAAATATGAATAAATAATTATTGTCTAATAAACTTGTACTTTTTTGCATTAAAAACCAAGCAGAAAAAAAACGTGGACTTTACAGTCAATGATGTCATGATCGTACTGGTCCGGCCCACGCGGACCCTGAACCAACACGAGTTCGACACCCTGGAGAGTTACTTCATACGCAAATACCGCATTTCGGAAATACTCACTGAGAAGAGAGCTCCTCCTGCGAACCTGGCTAATCCAGTTACTGGGACTCGGACCCGCCAGTCGGTTCAGCTCGTGGTGAATGGCAACCATGGCGTTCCTTCTCAGACCTGGGAACAGGTTCAGGTTAAAAAAAAAAATTTAGAAAGCGATTCTGGTTTCATTCGTCTGAACGGAACGGACCGGACCAACAGTGAGGCCGAGGCGATCGTGACGAACGGGACTCACCGGTCATGTTCCTCATGTGTCGGTAGGAGATGCCAGCGCACAGCTTGAAGGTCGCAGGCAGCATTTTCAGGCAGAGGACTCTGGGTAAAAAAAAAAAGTATTGTAAAATATTTAACGAAGTTGTTGGCGCTCCTGAAAAGACCCGGACCGACAAGTGATGGAAGTCTCTGGAAAACAAGAGAGAGCGCGAAGGAAGGTGTCTGTCTGTAGGAGCTCCAGAGAGTCGGTCTTTATAAGAGTGGACCCACAAGGCCGGGCTGCTATCAAACCTCCAACCCCCCCACGCCCCAGATAAACATCCCCCCACCGGCCGTCTTGCCAAGGCTACTTGTTGACAAGGCAAGCCTTTCCTCTGACTGACAAACACAGTGGAAGATAACGTCCAGTACACACACACACACACACACACACACACACACACACACACACACACACTGAGTGATGCGAGTCCATATAAAGGTCAGTCAGTGACTCATCCTTCCTCCGGGGGGCTCCACTAACACCCACTGTGGAATTTAAAAAAAAAAAAAGTTTTATTCACATTTTTCAGTCGTCGATATGTAAAAACGTTCCATCAACCGTCGTGGTGTGTGTGTGTGGTCGCCAAGTCGTGAGGTCAAGAATGATGAAGTCACCTGAGGGGCAGATGGAATCAGGGCAGATGGAATCAGGGCAGATGGAATCAGGGCCGTGATACTTTCTTTTTTTTTTATCTAGTACAATGACTCAGCACATACAGAACAGTACGCAAAAAATACTCGCAGATATTCAGCTTCCTTTATGACTTCCTGTTAAAAGACTATTTTCTGAGCATTGACCTACAAAGGTTTCCGATCATTTTCTGCTCTGCGTTGTATTAATATAAATTGTTTATAAGATTGACTGTTTTGTTTTTGTCCATTTTTGTCAATTCTTTTTTGGGGATAACTGTTGATTTTGGGGATTATACCAAAACGCTAATTGAATCAAAACATGTTTCGTTGTTAAAAAAAACAACTCTACAAGTTATTTATGATCATGACGCGTTTTGTTTTTGGTCTTTTTCATAAATAGGTTTTATAAGTGAAATGTTCGGACAAAAAAAAAATTCCGGCGGATTATTCTGGATTACCGTGACGTTAGCGTGAAGTCGGCGATCCATTAATCTGATCCTGTTTTTTTTTTTCCTTCTCCTTCACTTGTCACATGACCTTCTAACGCTGTTGTCTCTGAAAGCATCAACACGCTGAGACAATATTGCTCTGAGATAGTTTGGTTTCCCTGAGCGGGAGCGATTGAAGGTTCTGAAAACACAGCAGAAGCAGGTTGTTGTGGAAGCTCCGTGATTGGTTCACGCCACTGTGGGCAAGGAGCGAAAAAAAAAAAAGAAAATCAAAACTCCGAAATGCTCTTTATGTAGATTAAAATTATTATTATTAAAAAAAACAGTGGTTACAAAATAAGGGGTGCAACCCCCTAGAGGCACAGACTGTTTGCAGGAGGGACTGAGGCAGATTAATTTCAATTTCAATTTCGGAAATTGGGTAAAACAGTTTTTTTATAAATTAAAGTTTTTTTTAGCTGTAAATGTGTCAACATAGGGGGTGTGGGCTTCACAATGGTACGTCCATAAAAGGACGGGGCTGCAGTACAGCAAAAAAGGTCCGGGAACCGCTGGGGTGAACGGATGTGTCGGAATCACGAGCCGAGTGGGGCGAGGTCACAAGGTCAAAGGTCACCAGGTGTCAAAGAGGCGAAGGGTAAAAAGCAGACAGACCAGGTGACGTAGTCAAACTACAGCAATGACTTTATTAGGACTTGAAAGGACACAGTGGGCGTGGCTTCCACATGCACTCGGCGGCGGCCGTACATCACAACAATTCACTGCAGTACCGCACCGAGTACTGCAGTAGAAGTAAGTACTGTGCAGGAGGAGGAAAAAAAACCCAACAACCTAGATGTGAATGTGACGGACAGTCGTTCCGACCAGGAGGCACTTCAGTCTCAAACAGACGCCGAAAAAAAAAAAAATTGCAAAATTGTCAGACAGAAAAAACATGAAAAAAATAAAATAAAATAAAAACAAAGAGATTTTAACGTCCACCTCTCCGTTCTCGAAACAGAATAAAAGTGTCGACGTGGCAGGATTTTGTTTGCGATTGTCAAAGGGGGACGGTTTTTTAGAATACACATATACATGTATTCCTCCAAAAGAAGGACTTAAATGGGAGTGGACTCAAGAGGACTCAAGTGGGAGTGGGTGTGTCCGGTCGGGTGACACTGACGGGGTGTTTGAATACTACCTCTACCACTACTGCAGTATTTCAGGTTAAGTAATACTCCTGAAGCAGAAATATTTAAACATCTGGGACACTTTTGTTGGTCGTCCATCCTGCAGGACAGTCGAGGTCACTACAGGCAAGATCACTAAAATACGTCTAAAATATATATTTTTTAAAACTTTGAAAGTTTACGACATTTACCAACAAGGGGAAACAGGCTCTTAAGTTTTGTTGTGCTTACAGCATCCTCTGCTGGCTATATATATGTGCACAGTTTTTAACTACCATATTTTATGAAGTCTTGTCCAAATACAGATGAAAAGGATCGACAAAAAGATCATACATGAAAATAAAAACTGTAAGAAAATGACACAGTGCTGCATCTTCGCCAGCGGGGGTGACATTTCTTTTTTTTTAACATTTGGTGACAAAAAAAAAAACAGCATGACATGATTTCGAATTGTGCAAAAACGGCAAGTCAGGCTGAGTGCATGTGCTCCCTTCCCACTCCACTAGAGGGTGGCTGTGCGGAAAAGTGAGCAAATAAGAAAAAAAAGTTTAATTTCTGTACAGCAGAGGATTCGGATTTTTTAAAAAGCCACAAAAAACGTCCAATACAAAGTGACGATGTAAACGGGGCGAGAAGTGTGTGTGTGCGTGTACAACGCCAACATGATGTCCTCAAAGGCGTGTTCATCTGACTATGTGTGCAAGAGATGGGGCGCCACAGACGCGTCCACAGACGCTTGGACGAGATGGAAAAATAAGGAACTCCTCACTTCATTCCTTTGGCTTCATTATTCTCAGGGTCACAGCAAGTGCTGCGGGAAAACCCTGACCTCTGCTGGCAAGGGTGAGGTCAACACCTGGACTGTTGTTTTTGCCCCTTCACCACAAATATTTTGAAAAGTATTTTGTCCCTCATCATGCCTGACATTTAAGGATTAGCACTAGCAACTCTCGACCAATTACGAGCCCCGATTGCTTCAACCACTGGGTGTCAATAAAGTGAGAAGATTCTTACATTTTCCCGTCCAGACCGGCGTTGAAAGTCCGAGTCCAAAACGAGCAGAAAGACTACATCTATCTACGACACGTTCTATCGTAGTATTGGATGTCGGATCACGGGTTTCGGATCCGGGCACGGGTTCCGTACGACGGCTAAAAAAGCGAAAAGCGTTGGTAAATTCCACGTCACGGAAAAAAAAAGTGTCGTCTTTGATCCTGAGTGAAACACGAGGAGACGTACGCGCTAGGCTAGCTCAACTGTGTTTCTGGAGTGTTCCGAGGTTTGACACACACACACAGAGACCGGTAACAAGACAAAGGACCAGAAAAGACAGGACCTGAAAAACAAAATGAGTGAGACAAAGAAAAATTCACTAAGACCCCGTCGTCTACTCCCCCTGGTGGTCTTTATTATACAGTGGATCCCCTGAATATTAGCTTGTTTTTTTTTTTTCACGTTCGTCAACAACAGTGGCTCTTCTCGGTAGTCCAACAGTCCTGAGGGAAACTTCGATTTGTCCAAATAAATGTCTTGGCGATGTTGAACGCCCCATTTCTTAATGACCTGTGGGGTCAAAGGTCAGGGTCACCCCTCCTCTCCCCTCCCCTCCCCCTCGGGCTGACCAGTGAGGCTTTTAGACGGGCTGCCGCTTTGGACCAATCGGCAGCCAGGAAGCCCCGTTCGGCGCTCCTTCCCTTCGTTTGTGTGTCGGTGTGGCTCCCCACACCGTCCCTGTGCCACTAGGGGGCGGAGTTGGACATGGAATCCACTGAGTTCACGCTGGAAGACTGCACACGGCTGTGGGAGATGGACACGTCCGGGTGCTGCGGTGGAGACAACGGGACAGACAGAGAGATAGAGAGGGTTACCCCCAATGACTTATGGGTAATTTTTTTGTGTGCGTTTTTACTCACATGCCTCCTGAAGATCCTGTCCAATAGGCTGCGTCGCGGCGGCTCCGGAGGCTGGTCCCAGTCCAGGTCTGGGGGTCTGGTCCCCTGAGGCCCGAAGACATTCAGGTCTCTGAAACATTCAGTTTCTATCATCTGTGGGGGGCGGGGGGAGAGGAGGGGAGAAGAGGAGAGAGGAAGAGGGGGAGGAAGGGTGAGGAAGAGGGAGAGGAAGGGAGGAGGAAGAGGAGAAAGGAAGAGAGGAGAGGAGTGAGGAAGAGGGGTGAGGGACGGGGGGAGGAAGAGGAGAGAGAACAAGGAGAGAGGAAGGGGGGGGGGCAGTTAAAGAAAATTAGATTCCGCCTGATGCCACAAGATGGAGCCCAGGTACCACCAGTGGTACATATTTATTAGATCGGTACCAGACCCTTGTTATTGGACCAGTACCAAACCATTCTAATTGGACTGGTACCAGACCATTCCTATTAGACTGGTACCAGAGAATTCTTACTGGGCTGGTACCAGACAGTTCTAATTGGGCTGGTACCGAACCATTCTAATTGACCAGTAACTGGCCGTTCTAACTAGACTGGTATCAGACAGTTCTTACTGGACCAGTACCAGACAGTTCTTACTGGACCAGTACCAGACAGTTCTTACTAGACCAGTACCAGACAGACCTACCTCATTCTGCCAAGGGATGGAAACGCTGCCTGTGGCGAACTTGAAGTAGAAGTCGTTGTCGGTTTGGTCCAGATTGACTCCCTTCACTGTGGAGAACTGTTCTATGTCCAGGACGTCCTTACAGTAGACGGCCGGGGTGGGGTTGAGGCGTGGGGGGGGGGGAGAGAAGACAAGTCTATTTAAATAAGATAAACTATACCCATGGACATTGATAAGAGTTCGTGAATTTCCCGACA